GAAACGTTCGTCCCTCTACCGCGAGCATCTTCTCTTCCGGTGATAAAACGGAGTTATTTATCTTTCCTCCGCACGTGAAAGGAATTCCAAAGGGAGAGGAGATATCGGATTATTTTATACACACGTTTAGAATTGGCTCGACTGTTTAATTTCAACGTTTTCGAGAAAAGACTCGAGTGATCTCGGGAATAAAGGAACAAACGCAAATCAATCAATCAACTAGATAGCTTTTCCATCTCAAAGACATTCAACGGAAACCTCAATTTCGATGTTTTCGATGTTTCGTCGCAAATCTTTGCAAATTACACGAACAATCGATTCCCTTTTTACGGTGTAAAAAAAAAAAAAATGAAAAAAACGATGCTCCGACCGATCGTTTCGCTTTGTTATGGAGCATATGGGGTTGATATCCATAGTTCACCCGTAACGAATCGATCTGTCAAGGAGAGCAAGTTCACCGTTCGGTTTGGCCGGCCGGGTTGCGAACGAGGTTGCACGGATGTTACGAGGAACATATGTGCCGATTGTGCAAGGATGCATAAGGGTATAATATCTTGTACACCCTTGGAACACCTGCCATCTACGCCGTATACTCGAACCCGTGTGTATTATATACACTTCTCATCGATCGGCCGAGCATCGATGGTATCGTTACGTTGCTTCGCCGCAATTATATGCGAGCCTGGTTCATAAATAACGAAAGCGAAAAATTCATAAATTGGCCGAGCAATGTGAATAAGTAAATATGTTTAAATATTAGATGCGCAAATGCGATAATTTAAATGGAATAAAGAATTATACAGAGATTGAGCGATTTCGCGTCGCGTGATCGTAACGTGGAAAACCAGGTTTACTGCTTATCTTCATCCAATGAAGATAAATCGAAATCGAACATTTATTTTATAATAATAATACGCACGTTGAAACGATTGAATTATGCCATGATATATTTCTTTTTATCGTAACAATATTAATTTAACTATTCCGTGCAAAAAGATCCCTCTTCCCCTTGGTTAAGCCTTTTTAATTCCATTATTTTGCGATATAATGGGCCGTGACGAGCCGATAAAATTTTCATGGTGTTTGGGATTTCGAGTAATTACGTTTTGTGTACAGAGGAGCTTGACAAGACGCGGGGCGCAAGAGGGTCGATTTATCTATTGTGAAATAATTCAACGAGTCGAGCCATTATCAAAGGGTAGATTTTAATCGATACCGGTTTCGTGATTAAAAAAAATTGAAACGATTATAAAAAATCAATGATTTCGGAATCTCCAAAATTTTGACGTAATAAATTTGGAAGCGTAAATGCGTGTAATCGGCTCCATGGCTTCGATCGAAGTCACGTTTACGTGACAATGTAATCGTCCCACTTGAATATTTCATTGGAGGGTGGTCGAGGCGTTACGCCTCGCAATCGGTTTCGGACTCGTATCTCGGATCGTGCATCTCCGCGATTACCCCGAGAGTCCACTTAAAACGCGTCATTCTCTCCCAAAATTATGATTTCTCGATTCTACGCGTTCCAAAAATCTAATTTCCAAACGTATCGTGCCACGATACGTTTATCGTAGATAAGTGATGTTGAATTATTGAAACTATCGAAAATCTATACACGTACGCAATAATTCTGATCTGACTTTGGATGTCTATTTGTGAGCAAAGGTGAAAAGATTAAGAATTTCATGTTAAGTTAAATGGTTGAATAAGGATTTGTCTGTTACTAGATATTATAATTGATCCACAGTTATTTGATGCTTTGAACTATAATTATTTCAGTAACTTTATTCTTCACTATTCAATTATTAAATTTTATATCCATTTATGTTTGTTAGAATTGTGTTTGGGTTGCTCGGAAGTAATTTCGTTTTTTCACACGAGTGTCGCTAGTTGTTTATCCAGCCGACTTCATTCTAAATTGAGTTGTTATTGTATATTTCGAGAGTTGGCATTTCATGATTTGTAAGAAAAATTCGTTTGATTCTGTGCGTGATAACAAAAGGAGTATATTTTATTGCCACTGAAAAGATAAGAATATTGTTCATAACGCGGGGAAAAAGTATGTTAACAGTGCGCCAAAAAACTTCAAAATTTCGTTTCGACAATTTCAACATTAAATGCGCCACGTTCTGGAAGATCGGTTGAAGCTGATCAAGATGTCGAATTCAATATGAAAAAACTTTGAAAATCTTGAATGTATCTCCATTACTGCAAAAATTATAAACAAATTTTGCAAATAAAAATTTTGTAAATGAAATATCTTTAAAGATCTCAAACTTATCTTCATTTTTTTTTTAACTATAAATTTTTACGATTTTCAATATTTAGCTCAAATCTTATTTTGTTGCCGCTTCGTGCGAGATTTGGGTTTAGCAGTAGTATAGGACGGTAACCGGTCAGACACGAGGCAGGGAAAGCCAGACTCTCGCTTGAAAGATTAATATTTATTTGTGCATAGGAATATTAACTTCTTATTTTATTTAAGTGGGAAAAAAAGAAGGTACGATTAATATTCAAAGTTAGATAGATAGGTGAAATTATATATACGTTTGCTCGTAACGCAATTAGTCATCGATTTTTGCGATAAGATTCAATGATTAAATCAATTCTATGAAGCGAGCGCCGCGTGACGGGCATTATTTAAAAATTGGCGTACGTTTCTGACTTTCGTGACGTAGGAATAACGAAAAGTAAGAATACGACACGCGAGGATGCATTTTTTAAAAGGGTTCAAGTGTTTGCGCTAAACACGAATTGTTATTTCATTTATTTCGTTTGTAAACGTGGACGAATTAAAATCGCGTTAAAAATTACTTGTGTTCGAAGACTAAAGATTTCTTTTTTAATACAATAAAATAAATAAATGGATTAATTATTCGACAGTGTAATCAAATTGCAAGGAACCGAATTGAATTTGAAAAAATAATTATTTTATCATTATTTAAATCGATATATATATATATGTATATGTATATATTGCAAAATGCTAAAATGAAATAACAAAAGAAAATGATTAAAAGCACGCCGGCTCGCGAAATATTATAGAGAACGGACAATCGCAATTTTAATTGCAATTAATATTTATAATATTTCTGAATGCTTGAATCTCTCTCTCTTGTGCGTATCATAAAAATAATGAAATATTGATTTATCTTTACGATACAGCTGCATTAAACGAAGATCGTAAAATTGCAGCGGAAAACGATAAAATTCATGACGACGAATATTAAAAGCTTTAAATGTGCATCGGGGGAAACAGTATAATCAATTAATTTTAATCAGTTAATATAATATTTCACATTTGTTGTTCCTCTTTTATGGAATAAAAGATTAATAATAATACAGCTCCACTATAATACAGAATAACTGATAACATTGTCGAAATAAAACGTGTAATTTCAACCACTCGACGTTTATTAACTGTTGCTTTCCAATTTTTGCCTTCGCTTCGTGAAAACATTTAAATTGTTATATTTTATATTTTTCCATCCCTCCTGTCACGCGGATAACAACGGATCCCCTCTTGTCGCGCAGAATTATGCGTGGAATTAATCACAAGCATGGCGGATTAATTCAACTAACCTTAAAAAATCAGTAATAAATATTTACTAAGAAAATAATGGAGGCTAGATTTTATTTTCGATTGTTTTCTTCTCGTGTCTTCTTCTCTCTTCTTTGTCCTCTCTTTTCTGTTCAGCAAGATGAACTTGGAACTTTTAATTCGGCCATCGCATCAAATTTCTATTCCACTTCAATTCAATAAGAGCAAGACAAGGGGCAGAACCTTATTTTGATTTTCAATCCTCTTGCTCTCTCAACTTAAAACTTCGATTAAGTTATATTAAATTTCTTCGATTCTTCTGTTCCACAAGTCCCACGATTCAAGTCCCAAATTTTAAAGACTCTTTATCCTCTTTCTCCTTCGCTCACTTGTTTTTTTTTTTTTTATGTTCACATTTAAAGAGCAAAGGAAAACTTAAAACTTCGATAAGTTTCAATTGTTCGCAAGAACACAATTCAAGTGCGAAATTTTAAGGATTCTCTATCCTCTTTCTCCTTCGCTCACTGTCTTTTTTCCTATGCTCACATTTAAAGAGCAAAAGAAACTCGAAACTTGTGATAAGTTTCGATTGCTTTTCAAGAAAAACAAATTTTAACGACGAAATTCTTCTAAATTCATATTCGAAAGAAACTTGGAACTTTGATTAAATCGTATACAAATTTTCCAACTCCTCGATGTTCGAGATCTCGAGTTTTGACGATGGGAGAGAAAGAATCCATCGACTTCCGGTAGCGGGAACAATTCACGCGGATCGATCGATGGCGAGCCGAGGGGGTTAAATTAATTTAAGTAATTTGACGATCGCTATCGGCGGAAACATTAAATAAAGTAGCAGCGTTGTACAGGTAGCCGCGTTTAGATTATAGATCGGTTCGCCGATCGAGTAAACCGACGTTGGTCACAACAACATCGACATGGATTGTGGCCATCGTTGCATAACTGAGTGGTCGTTCATGATGATTGGATGGCCGTCCTTTTATTCCATTTAGCCACTTGTCATTAACAGTGGAAGGAAAAAGTACCGCATCGACACGCATAACGTTCATACATCGTGTTAACAGCGTTCGCCCATTCCTCCTCGACTCGGTTACACTACGAGCGTAATGGTGTAACGGTTAAACCCTTTCACGATGGGAAGATAAATGATGTACGGAGGAAAATATTAGATCGTGTAATAAGTTCGTCCTCTTTGGAGGATTGGAAAGGATTATGTAGGATTGTTGAAAAGAAAAAAGCGCTTTGTTGCCAAACTTTTGTCGTTTGATTAGCAAAAAGAATGCGCTTAACCGATTAGATTGAAGGCATCTTGCTTAAATCTAGAGAAAGATTCGTTATAAATGTACGTTTCAACGTCGCTTCGTAAAATTCTCTCGACGAAAAATCGTTAAAATCGAAGAATCAAACATTTGTATACGAATCTGATATAATTTTGTTCCAGGAACGAGAGGCTGAAAAGATAGCGGAGGAGGCGGCAGCTATGCGCGACGTTAAACCGGAACTTCAACCCGCAAGAAGTCCCGACACCTGGCAGGGAAACAACTTCTATCGACATCTGAATGCAATAAAAAGTACGTAACGTACGTGTAAACAAACAGATAACGAATTCGTGTTCAGAACTGGTCAGAATGAAGGATTTACTCGAGTCTGGAAGCAAAAAGTTTCCTTTTTCTTTTTTCCACGATACAACTTTGTAACTTTTATCGGCCAAGTTTCATGTGGCGCTGCCGTCGCTTTCCTTTTCCCCCCGAAACGTACGAAACTCGAGTTTGTTGAAATATTTTGTTGGATATTTTCAAAGAAAAAAAGAAAAGCAACAAATAACAACAAACGTCCCTCCACCACTTTTCAATCTGTTCTTCTGATATTTGGTTAATATCAGAATTGGTAATTAGCGGGGCACGAGAGTGGTCGAGGAGAAGGTCGTGAGATTAAATTAATTAGAGTAATTAGTCGCGAGCGGAGTGTTAACTGTGAGAGCGAAGGGTTGCCTCGAATATCAGACGCGGGGGTGGATCTTGGAGTCGGTAATAACGGAAAAGGGGTTGCGGGCGAAACTCCTCTCCCGGCGAGGAGGCGTGATTTCCGATGACGCTTGCGCGCTCCCGTCCCAGCAATTCAAGTATGGCCCGTACGGAACGTTGCACCCAACTTTAATTTTCCATTCCTTGTCCCCGAGTTATTTCAACCCCGAATCTCTAAATATTAGGACATTAGGTTTTGCTCGAATTTCTGCGGTGGAAAATTAAAAACTTTATGTAGCTCGTTTATAATATATCCAACGAACGACAGGATGACAGGGCGAAAGGTTTTGTGAATGAAATTAAATTAGATCGAGTTTTGTCTCGAAGGTTTTCGATCGAGGTTGTACACAACAACCGAAGCGAAGAAATTCGAATTGGATAAATTGTTGAAATTATTTATTTCTATTGTTCATTTCTTAACCACGATATGCTAATTTGTAAATACAGGGAAATGTTTTAACTAAAATTTTAGGAATAACACGAATGAAAAGATGTTTCGAGGATTTCGACTTGCGCTTAGGATCACTTGCGCGAAAATACGGGTAATATCGTCGTTGGAGCATGAATAGAGGGCATATTGAAAACAGCCATAAGCTGAAAATAACGAGATAACGAGGTGTTGTTTTCCCTTCATCGGGAAAAATATCTCTTTACATTTTCCCGAATATCTAATTGTTATTCATTCGTATAATTGTCACACACGTTCCTAGCGCCGCATTAAATTCCTTCAATTCCTTATTAATTTTCGAGAAAGGAATTTCGCCTAATTTCGCCTAAAAATTATTACTCATTGTTTGCGTAATTATGTTCGAGCGTATATCCAATTTTTATCACGCGACTAATCTCCATCCATCAAATTCCTCTCGATGGGGAAAGAAAAGAGAAAAAGAGAAAGAGAGAGAGAGGGAAAAAAGAAAAATCACCACCAATCGATATCAACCGAACCGAACCGATCGAACGAGCTCACCTTTAATCGGACACAACCGTGCTCGAATAACTTTTCAATTTCACCCGTGCACGCGGTTCATTACCCATTCAATTTAAATGAATAAATGAAACCGAGGGAGGGGGGATTTTTCCGATTTTCTTTGTTTCCTTTGAATATTCCCACGGCGGGAGGGAATTTTGTTAATTTTCAACAATGCAATGATTGCAGGCGCGGAGCAGGCCGAGAGGACGGGCACGACGGATTGTTCCGCCTGCCATCCTCCGCGAGGAATATTTTACAGCCAGATTCATAGCCCGTCTGCGCCCACTAATTAATCGACGCGAGATGCAGCCGTTTGGCGGGAGGAGGAGAAGTTGAGGGGAGTGGAGAAGGAGCAGGTGGTGGAGGCGGCGGTGATGGTGATGATGGGGGAGGGGTTGAAGAAGGAGGACAAAGGTAGGAGGAAGGAGGAAGAGGGGGAAGGAGACGGAGGGAGTGGGAGAGGGAGAAGAGAGGTGGAGAGTAATTCAAAAAGACACTGTAAATTAGGGGTCTCCGTCGGTTCGTTCAGCCTGGATTCGTTGAATTCCAATTAGTTTAAAGCGCGTTTATCTCACGGTTACGCGTTCTAATTATTTTTTTTCTTTTTTACCTCCCTTTTTTTTCTTTTTTTATTGCTCTTTCCTTTTTTTATTCCTCCTCCAAGTCATCACGTGTGAGCGAACGATGGCCAAGATTTGAATTAATTAAGAGTTAATTAAGAGTTTTCAAATGCTTCTCGAGGCATAATTTTCTTCCTTCCTTTTTTTGTGAATATTTATAATAAGCGGATGGAGATCTCTTATGATAATCGTTTCGCCATTCAACGCGATCTTTTTAAATGAAACGAAATTGACAAGTAATCGGAGAGACGTTACGCATTTTGTTACGACGAAATGCATATGGAAAGGAAAAAGGAAAGGGAAGAAAAGGTGGTCGTTCTTGCGACTCGTAAATTAATTTTGTAGATTAATTACCGCCCGCACAAAGAAGCATTATATATAAATATTCGTGTAATTAATTCGTAACACGATACGCAAGCATAAAGTATATTTGCGCGAAGAGAGCATTCGAAACGAGGAAAAAAAATTTCGCTCAAATCTTGTATCTAGATAAAAAAAATATTATTTTCGATTCTACTTACTGGTGGATCTCTGATTGACGTGGCACGTAATAATACGTCAATGATAATCAAGTTTCGAGTGCACATAGGGAACCGATATTCGTATTATTATAAGACACTCTTTGTAACGAAAACATTTACGAGAGAAACGTTACGCGCGTGCGCGTGTAAAAAAATGGCCAGAAAGGATTAGATTGTGTATACAGTTAGTTGGGAACGAAGTTTCAAAATGAAATAATAATAATAATAATGAGAAGAAACACGATTACGAAAAGTGATGACAATTGTAATAATTGTGTATGATATTGTTTAAATGAACAATTATTTGTTAAAAAAAAAAAAAACTAGAACTACCAGACTTTTCGAATTTTTTTCGCTTTTGCGAGGAACAATTATTGATAATTAATTAATTATACACGTTTCAAGCACGAACGTAGCAACGTAGCTATAATTCTACTTTAAATCCAGTCCAGTCGTGTAACGTATATAAAATCCATACGTACATACATATATATATGTATATACGTATATAATGTAGGTCGGTAGTTCTAGCATTAATCAGATTACTTAACCTAATCAGTCTTTCCGAGGTTTGATTCAATGCGTTTAATTCGATTAATTCGAATACGCGCAATTCGATAAATTTTGTACGTGTTCATCGTTTCATTCGGTAAATCAAATATCGCACATAGTTGTTTACGTTGATGCACAAGAGTCGAGTAGGTGAATCAAATCCTTTCTTCGCGATCATTTGTGTTGAAATTAGAAAACAAATTTTCCTCCCCACTTTTCTCTTATTAAACCCACCCTCTATATTATAGCACAGTGGTGATCACGATAATTAACATATTCCAATCTATCAAGACGATCCTCTCCCTCTTGCTTAACTCGAAAGCAAATAAGGCATCCGTTTGTCAATTGACCTTTTTCTTAAATTTTCTCGCGTAAAAGAGAGTTCGCGCAAAAAGGAAAGATTGGAAATCACTGTTCTATATTATAGCAGAAAATTGAAACGAAAAAAATTGTTTCGATCCGAATTCCAGGGTTAAGCACGATTCGACGAACCAGCCGCGCACGCTCAAGAGCACTAATCCTTTCCTTTTTTTTGCATTGTAATAAAATTATTAGTGAAACGAGGAGCCAATGCAGCTTGAAATTGGCTTCTCGCCGCGAGTCGATATGCTGTGCAATATACTCTCTTTACGGTTATTAGGCTGCCGAGCGAGAATGGCTCGCGATCCTCTGGGCGAAGAGAGGATCGTGAAAAATATTCGAAACGGCGGCGGGTGTTTTCTCCGTGGAGAACGAGAAAAAAGAAGAAAAAAGAAAAAAAAAAAAAGAAAAATAGCAGAAACACGGATTCCCTCCATCGAAAGTTAATATGCGAAATTGGAATTTATTTATCGCTCGGTGGGGAGAATCTGAATAGAGCGAACGTCGTGTCTCTGCCTCGAAGTGACAGAGGTAAACTTCTCCTGCTTTTTATTCTTCGTAGAAAGTGCCGGTGTGTATTACCGCAAACAGCTGTAAGGAATGCCGCGTAGATTGCGCTCGTTTGAGTAAAAGTAAGAAAAAAAGTGTATAGGAGACGCAATATATTGGAAACACTGTATGTGTAATCCGAGTAATAATAAAAGTTCTGATCACTGGTGTATCACGTTCTTTCCTATTTATTTATCGGAAAAGAAAATTCACTTTTCCTTTTCTTTTCGTTGCATTCGGGAAGAAAGTCCAAATTTTTTCTCCAAGAATGTTTTCGAGAAACGATTACGATATATTCAGTTGGAGATGATTCTTCGAAACTTTCTTTGAACTTGTATTTTTTAAAAAAAAGAAATAATATAGAAAGAGAAAAAAATTGTATCGCGAAAAGGGAAATGGGATTAGAAGGGAAAGAAGCAAAAGGCAATGGGAAGCAATCACGTAAAGATAACGAATGCAAATCTACGTCAGATTGGAGAAGTAGAGAAATAAATCCTTTTCAATTACTGAAGAAACTGGTGTATAGTAGAATGCACTGTGTAATCTTGGTCGTTGGATGTGTATCCCTTGGCTGTGAAATCCTTGGGGACCGCTCCCGCCTACTACAAGGACGCTCCAATGAGCAGAAACCCTTAACGGATACAACGGATACAGTCCCTGGACGATCGTCAGCAAAATTTCAGATTTCGACCACATATGGTACTTACGATGCTATTCTCGTGAGCGCGCCGCCAAAGAAATAGGAAGAATTCGATCTTCTTTCTTTTTTTATCCGATATCTTTGACGGTTGGAAAGGGAAAATTTGGAAGATAATATTTTTGGAGGAAAAAGAAAAATTTGAGAATCGCGAGAAGCTTTCGCACACTCCTCTGCGTGAAAATTCGAAATATAATTTCGCTATTTGAATTCTAACCTTTGCAAACATTCACCTCTGTGAATCAAACTTTTTATCATAGCCGATTCGAATTATCCTCCTCTCTCCTTGTTTCGAATACGAATTTTCCATTTTATTCCTTAAAGATGATTCGACGATAATAATCGTAAAAATATCCCGATGATATTTAAAAAAATTTAGTAAAAAAAAAAAAAAAGAACAAAAAAATCTTATTCCATTCGTACTCGTGTACAACGTTTACGAAAACGTTGGACGAAATATTGGACGTTCGTGAGGGAGACGGGTCCTCGCCTGTTACAAATACTTCCGGTTTCGGAGTCTGGATGGCCCTTTATGGCGGCACGTGAACGTGTATCGCCGGGACGTGAGGTAGTTACGAGAAAAGTCGGCACTGAGGAAAAGCCACTCGTACTTGTAGATTCCTCCCGAGAGGCGATGGTGTCTCCATTCGCGAAGCCAATTTGCCGGAACATTAGCCGCAGATGGTGTTTCTTCAACGATGCCTATTATTGATATTTCCTGTTCGCGATCGGCCCATAATCGATATATGTATATATATATATAGAGAGCGAGAGAGAGAAAGAGAGAGAGAGATTCTACGCGAAAATTTCACTCTTTTCTCCAAATCCAATTTAAAAATTTAATCTTTTTCTTCCATTCGATTCCGTTCGATTATTCGATACATACGATATATATACGCAAAATATGTAAAATGTGGTATGTATTTCGTGGATAGCGTTAAGCGATAGAAGAATAAAAATTTGAAAAATTTAAATAGATGGAAAAAGTTCATCAATCCAACGTTGAATCGTTAAAAAAAGCGTAGAAGGAAAATGGCCAAAACTTTTGAATCGTATGTGATACACGTTGGGGGAGGGGAGAGGGAGGGGGAGCCATTTTCTTTTTTTTTTTTAAACAGCGACGATATCGAGAACCAGTATAACGAGCAAGGATTTAAACACAAGTTTCAGTCATCTACAATAAAGTCGACAAGCTGGGTATTTAAAGAAACATTTTAATTGCAGGAGCTAAGCCGCTTACGTGCCCCTCTCTTGCGTGCATTAATAAAAACGACCCTCCTGTTATGGGATGCGAACGAGCAAGCTGGTATTGTATCTCTGCGAGAAAGTAATTCGACTTTTCGTTCGAAGAAAAACGTCTCCTCGCGAATATTTCTCTAAACTCAAAAGAGAGAGAGGAACAATAAGGGGGAAGAAATTCAGTGGGATTTTGTTGTTTTGTGAAAATCGTTTTCAATTGAGAAAGCACATTACGTTGGAATTCTCGATGCGATTAAGGCTGTTTCTTTTCGATATTTATAAAAACTTTCCTTTTTTTTTTCTTCCTTTCTTTAAAAATGTCTAATTAACCCGTCTATAGTGAAATTTTGATTTTATCAAAATTAACAGCAGCATCTCAACCATACTGTTCTCCTTAATTAAAATTTTTCGAAAAATATTTAACATTCAAATCAAGTTAAAAAAAAATAGGGGAAAAAAAACTTTAATTCCAATTTTCAACTGTCTTCAAAATGTGTTTCATGTTATAACAGATTAAAGTAGCTATTTTTTTTTTTCTTTTTTTTTCAACAAATCAGAATCAAAAATTTTCCCCGATTAAATTCAAATCGATCGATAAAAAAGAATTGGAAATATCGTTTAAAGTAAACAAATATAATAACGTATTCGAACGTATCTTGCGTCTTCATCTGTCGAGATGAAAAAGAAAAAAAAAAAAGAAATCCCATAACGAGAAACAAGCGCTGTAATTGGGCATGAAAAAGCTGTATTTTCCACGGTTAGATTCGCGAGTGA